TGTTGTTGTTGAGGTACAGATGCTCCAGCCTGTTGTTGATGGCAGGCACGTTGCTGATCTTGTTGTGTGACAGGTGGAGCACGAGCAGGTTGGAGAGGTTGAAGGAGTTCTTGGGGAGTCCCCTGTCTGAGAGCTTGTTGTAGTTAAGGCGAATGAAGGCCAGGTTGGGGAAGCCCTTGAAGTACCCACTGGGGATGGTCTCGATCCTGTTGCTGTCCAGGTAGAGCTGGTGAATGGCCGTGGGGACCTTGGGTGGCATCTTTCTCAAGATGTTGTTGGCCAGATTGAGCTGCATGAGGTTCTTGAGGCCCTGGAAGGTGTCGGGCTTGAAGACGCCGTCACTCAGCTTGTTGTGCTGGAGGTCCAGGAGCAGCAGGTTCTCCAGCTTGCTGAAGACGCCGGGTGGGATTCTGGAGATCTGGTTCTGGCTCAGCCTCAGCTGCTCCAGGTTCCGGGGCAGGGCGGAGGGCACCTCTTCAAGCTGGTTCTTCTCCATGTAGAGGAACACCAGGCTGGGCAGTTTCTCCAGCACCTTCTGGTCTATCTTGCGAATTCGGTTGTTGTCCAGGTTGATCCACCTCAGGCCGGAGGCATTCCTGAAGGACTCCAGTGGGAGCTCAGTTATGAAGTTGTTCTGCAGGTAGAGGTAATGGATGCGGGATGGGATGACCGGGACCTTTCGAAGGTTGCGGCTGTCACAGTAGAGGGCAGATGGGAAATCAGAGGGGCAGTAGCATTCCCGGGGACAGTCAGGAAAGACAGACGGAGGGCCTGGTGGGAGGGGAGGAGGCAGGTCTGTAGGCTCTGATGGCTCATCGGGCTGAGGAAAGCTGGGTGTGGGCCTGAGTCGGGGTCTGGGCCGGGGCCTTGGTCTGGGTCTTGGTCGTCTTGTTGCCTGGCCTTGGGCCTCTGAGGCCAAGATGAGGAGAAGTGGGAGGAGCCAGTAGAAGGATGACCTCATGATCCAGATGATGCACCTGCGGGGAGGAACACAGGCAGTCATCAGCCTGCCAGGCCTCAGTAATGAGAGGACATGTCCTTACAGCTAGAGTTGGCCAGGATGGGCTCCAGGGGAGCTGTGGGAGGGGCCTCCGGAAGCATCTCCTTGTCTGCCTGCATCCAGCAGGTGAGAAAGTAATGAGGGCTTGAGGGTCTGGATCCCTTGCCCAGGGGCCTAGCCCCTGAAGGTGCTAAGCCTGCCCTGGAGAGTGTGAGCCATCCTGGCAGAAAGCCCACTGGGCTGTGAATCAGGAGTCCTGGGGTTTCCTGGAAAAGACCCTCAGATCCCTAGTCCCCCGTTTCCCTATTTGCAGCATGTGAAAGCCCTGATGGGGGGATGCTAGGACATGTGAGCCGTATGTGAGATGTTACATCTAGAAGTGTCCTTAGAGATCCCGTAACTCAGTGGTTTGCAAACTGTGCCCTCATTTCTGTGGAGTCCCCCTGAGGGAGGAAGGCCGAGGGGATGTTCATGGGCACCCCCAATCCACTCCCATGCCAGCCTAAGCAACCTGTGTTTTTGAATCTGTTTTATATATTGAAGTTTAGCCAAAGCATTCAGTTGAAAAAAAAAAGTTGCTTTGCTAAAAATGTTTTGAAATTCACCAGTCAAATCCAGACTCGACTATTTATAAAAAATTGAGTACTGGAGGGAAGAAGGGACCTGCCAAGGCCAGGAAGCTGTTTAGCAGCAGACCTGGGACAAAACCCCAGGGCTCCGTGGGCTCGTGGAGAGCGTGGGAAGGAAGGAAGGTGCTGCAGTCAACCCTGCTCAGCCTCGGAGGGGCAGAGGGCGTCTCCCCACATCTTCCTTGCACAAGCCCTGGACACCCGGCCTGCACGCTCTCACACACACAGCACTCCTCTGCCTGAACCATTCACATAAGCAAACACGCAGTCTCCTGTCCTCTGCATGTGTGTGTGTGAGTCCCCATAGAGAATACTGAGTGTGGGAAGGAAGGAAGAAAAGAAGGAAGGAAGACAGACGAGGAGGGAGGAAGGAGGAAGGAGGAAATTGTCCTGCAGCCTGTTGCTTCTCCATCTCCCTCTGAGGTGGTCTCTTCCCAGGCAGGCCTCTCCAAGGGGGGTCCAGGACTGCCATCTTCCCTGGGACTCCCATCACGAAGGACTTTACAGCTAGATTCCTGACTTTATCTCCAGCTGAGGACGTAACGGTCTTGGGGATACACCAAAAGAACTGAGAAGAGAAGACATTCATTGTGAAATGAAACTTGAGTCTTGTTACCTGACTCCATGCCACTTATAAGTCGTGAGCCATGACTTAGTACCTTACGAGTCCCCAAATCTTCTTGAAAATAGCACAGCCGTATTGCACGTAGACTTTGAAGGAGTGGGTAAAGCGTTAGGGACTAAAAGGAAGCATCTTTAGAAGCCATCCGATCTCGGTGACCTTGAGTTTTCTCGCCTGGGCATTTCTTTATTTTCTGACCACCCAGAAGCCTGACAATAAGCAAGAGATCTCTTGCGAGCAGCCCTGGCTGTGGTTCCCTCTGTCCCTTCATTGCTTCTGTCACCAAAAGCATCCGCCAGGTACTGGGCCCTGAGGTTAGCAAGGAAAGTGTGTTCAGAGCTCCCTGCAGAAGACCGCTCTGGGAGGCACAGTGACTCAGGCAGCTGGTCCTTGCAGGGGGCCTTTCTGGGTGGCTCTGAGCCCGGGCAGCCCCTGGCCCCCTTGCCAGGGGTGACGGAGTCACAGGTCAGTCACAGCTCCTCCTGGCGGGCCTGCCTCCCTCGCCCTCCGTCCACGGTGAACGCAGGCCTTCCTCGTCCCCCGTCTCCCGCACCAGACCTTTCGGGAGCTTCTCTCATCTTCCCTCTAGTCCTCTGACCGTCTGCACTCCAGACCCCTGGGGGCTGGCCAAGCTCCTCTCAGGGCGAGGGGCGACTCCCGGGGAGCAGCTCCCCGGTCCTGCTCCGTGGAGAAACTGGGTTTGTTCACCTGCCCTTCTCTGAGCCCTGTGATGGAACCACTTTGTGTGTGTGCGTGTGTGCGTGCATGTGTGTGTGCAACACGCTTCTTTCTTGAGGAAATAGCGTTCGTTTCTAAGGCTTTTCTCATCGGGCCTTGCCCCTTCCTGCTAGAGCTTGACCAGTCCCCCGCAGCCTAAGTCACCAAACCAGAATCTGTGACAGACTGGACTCCAGGGGAGTCACAGTCCTTCCCACAAAGCCCTAAGTCACAGCTGTCTGTCTTCCGGAACCTTCTGTCCAGTCATAAGCTCCCTTAGGGTGGGTCATAAGCATGTGTGATTTTAAAATTTCTTATCCCTTTGCAAGCACACCTCCCCACGTCCCAGCTTTCTGCTGGGCTGTGCCTACCGCTCAGTCAATGAACACATGACGACCACCTGCCACCACCGACCTCCCACAGCCCTGCTCACCAGTGTGGGCTCTCAAAAGTTGCTCATTCCTGGGGGAAAAGCAATTGTTTTGCCCAACCTCAAATTCACTTTCTCATTTAAGAATGTTTTCTAAGAGAGGTTGGGTTTTTTTGTGTTTGTTTTTTTGAGGGGAGAGTTAGTTAAGTTTATTTATTTAGTTAGTTATTTTATTGGAGGTACTGGGGATAGAACCCAGGACCTTGTGCATGCTAAGCATGCACTTTACCACTGAGCTATACCCTCCCCCCATAAGAGAGTTTTAAATTCAAATTTCAGATCCGAGTGTTGGAGATCTGGGCTTGAATCCTGGCTCTGACCCTCCTCTAACTCCAGCTCCCCAACTGTGTGAGAATCAAAGGAGATCACGTGCGTGAAGGCATGCTGTTGAGCATAAAATCTCTTCACGTGGCAGGGCTTTTATTTATTCATTTATTTGTTTATAAAAGAACACATTCTCTAGAGAGGTTCTGACTTTTCAAATGAGACAGCCCTGTCCCGGTTTCGCTCATGAGGTTCAGATGCGATGGTCAGCCTCAGGGCAGGGCTGCGCAGAGGTCCGTATGGGTTTGCCAAGTCATTAGGGCAAGTTTAAGGGTAACTGGCTTTGTATGGAGAGAGCCTGGGGTTGGGGCCGGGCTGGGAATGAAGTTGGGTGTGTCTCCCTGACTCTACACTACTTGTCAGATTTCCCCTCTAGCTGATCACCCCTGAGTCTCTGTGGCTTAACCCAGCCAGGGACCCCTCCCATGGAGGACAGGGCTGCCCCTGCCTCTGCTACAGAGCCATGCCCACGCACATGGGGATGACCCTCTTTCTTTGCTCCCATTTTAAAAAATTTATCTATGTTATTTGGGGGGCGGTAATTAGATTTATCTCTTTATTTCTGGAGGCAGTACTGGGGATTGAACCCAGGACCCTGTGCACGCTGAGCGTGCATTCCACCATTTGAGCCATGCCCTTCCCTTCTTTGCTCCCTGCTTTCTGCCCTAAGCTTAGGCTTCTGAAAGCCATCCTGCTCCTTCTGTGTCTTCCTAAAGCCTGGAAGGGAGCTGGAAGCCAGGAGGATCAGGTGGTCTCTACCCAGTTGTTAGCAGAGGAGTAAAGCAGGCCCACTCAGAGCCCGAGAATCTTCCAAGGCCGCCAAGCAGGGCTTGTGTGGCCCTGCGGCAAGGAAAGGGCTGACATGGAGGCGCGTGAACCCAGCGCGTCCCCTCTCCTGGGGGATGAGAGCAGTGCAGGCGCGAGCCTGACTGGGGCCGTGGTGGGAGAGCATCCTGTGCATCTCGACGGGGGGCGGGGGTCTCAGCCCGGGCCCCCACCGCCAAGTGACGCGGCCCTCTTCTCAGCCTCAGTTTCCTTATCTGTAAAATGGGGAACAAAATCTTCTCCATCCCTGTCTTCTTCATCCAGCCTTTTTCCGAAGCAAGTGTGCTAAGCGACTTTAAAATGTGCTGCAGATCCAAAAGTGCTAAAAATACATGTAAAACTATCACGGAGAGACCATCTGTCTCCCCAGTGTCTAGCACAAGGCAACGTGTAAACAGAATGAAGCTTTTTTGGCTTCAGGCCACTAGTCCAGAGGAGCAAGTTTTCCATTCCAGGGGCCCGGGGAAGAAACAAGGGTGAGATGGCCCTCGGTCCTCTTACAGACTGTCACCTCACCATGTCCTTCTCTCTGCCTCCGTCCCCTAGCATCTCCACCCCCTGAAGAAAGCCTTCACGAATCTGATGCGTTCGGCGTTTGTAGATCTGGGTCTCAACCCTGCAGCTGTTTAGCTGGGTGCTCCTGGGAAATCTCTCCCCTCTACTAAGCTCCAGCTTCCCCATCTGTAAAATGGGCACACTAACACCTTCCTATCAAGTTGTTTTGAAGGTTAAATGAGTGAATGTGGGAAAAGTGAGTGCTGCTCAGTGAATGTTAAGCTGTGGTTGACATTATCTCAAAGGAAGTAGTGTCTCTTTCCCTTCAGAATGGCCAGAGGTCCACCGGAAGGCAGGGGTCCTTGCAGGTGGGTACATCTTATGGACTTCCCCCAGCTCCTTCACACGGAGCAGCTTCTTTCCCTTTAGGGCCTGAGAGACAAGACTAATTAGAAGCAACTAATTAAAGACACCATAGCAGCCCCCAGCCATTTGGGGAGCTCTGCCCCTCCAGCTCACTGACCCCACTCCGAGCTCTGTGCAGCAGGTGAGGGATGCTGGCCGGGGAGTCTCCCTTCCTCAGCTGGCCCTGGAGTCCCCTTGTGATCCATGACTTCTCCTCCTAAAATTTTTTTTGGCAAGGGAGTGGTTATTAGTTTCATTTATTTTTAGAGGAGGTACTGGGGAGTGAACCCAGGACCTTATATGTGCTAAGCAAGCATGCACCCTACCACTTGGGCTGTACACTCCCCGACTCTCCTACCAAACTTTTGCACCTGCCTTTTTGCCCCTTCCGACTCGCAAATGCTTCCCTCACAGGCCCAATAAAGGGGGCTGGACCCTGGGGAGGGGGAGTGTGGACCTTGCTGCTCAGCTCATCGTCCGTGTGAGCCCAGCAGGACAGATAGCCATTGGGCAGGAGGCAGAAGAATCTAGAAGGCAAGGGGAGGAGCCCAGCACGGTGCCCCTGGGGACTCAGGGCAGGCAGATCCACAGGTGAGAGGAAACAAAAGCTCTTCTGAGCTATCTTGGGGGAACTTGCTTTCTGGAATGTTCCCCCTGTGATATGGCTGCCAGTGCTTGTAAGGACAAAGGAGGGGGAGCACTCACAGATCTTTCCTGACCCCTCAGGTGCTTGCTTCCACTCTGCAGAAGAGGGTGGCCCGTCTGGGACATTCAGGAGCTCCTCCATTAGACAGCCCTTGTCCAGAAACCGCACAGCCTTCTGCCCAGCTAGCACTGCCATCTCAACCCCGTGCAGGTCTCCCTCAGGCCCCTGGTTCAAGTTCTCAAGCCCTAGCTGACCCTCAAGTCCTAAAACAGCGACAGAGTCCTGGGTCTCCAGCCAGTGGATCTGGGCAAAGGGCCCAGTAGGTGCGTAAGCCCCCTACTACCACCCCCAGGTGAAGATCAGCTGTATTTGGGACCCTGATCCAGCCCATGCCCTGTCTGCCTGGGGACAGCACGCTCTCTGTGGTTGAAGAGGAATGAGCTGAGGGGGGGGTGTGGAGGGGGTCCACCCTGTTTGGAAACCCTTCCCTCTGAGTTACTGACTTCAGTTTCCCCCTCCTGATGGCTTAAGGAACTACTGTCTCTTTTTTCCCTCTCCCACAGGGACCCCTTGCCAGCTTGGGATAATTTCAAAGTGATTTTAAAGAGGAATCTTTCCTAGCTGCCTGCAGAAAAAAAAAATAAATAAATTGCCGCAGAGCTAGGAATTAGTACCTCCAAAGCTAGAAACAGGGTTTCCTTCTTCTTCTTCTTCTTTTTTTTTTTCCCAAATGTCAAGTGGCCTGGACCAGTGAGACACAAAAATCCATAGCTACTGGGAAGACACTATGCAGGTTGGAAAGCTACTTTTCCCTCTCCCACCCAAGGAAGTTCTAAAGAACCAAGAAATGCTCCCAGCGCCTGCTCCCGTTCATCCCCTCCTGCTCGGCCTTGACTCTGGACACATGACTTTCTTTTGGCTCAGCCATCTCAGTGGGAAGACGCACTTTCTTTTTCACAGCTGAGGAGCGTGTGAGAGGGAGAGAGACAAGATGCAGTGCGTGTGTGTGTCCGCTAGTGTTTATTCACTACGTGGTCTAGCTCTGCATGTCAAACGCAGTCAGGATGGAGGTGAATGGACAGGATGCCTTCATCCCGTGTGTGTAATTTGTGTGTGCGCAGGTGACGTGACAGTGCAGCCTCTGTGTGACACGTGTGTGTGCCTGTGACAATGTGTGACACAACATGAAAGGTGCAGAGGAATGGGTTCTAGGATTGGGTTTCTAGGGGAACCTGATCTGTAGAAATAACTGTGTACAGCATAACTGCGGGCCAAGTCATCTGTACCAAGAAAGTTTAACTTTTGCAGCAAGCAGCTACATAGGTGTGGAAGGAGGAAGAGAAGGGGGAGGAAGAGGGTGTCAAAGAAATGAGGGAGACTAATTTGAGCTCCTTTGAAAGGAGAAAATTTTGGTGGAACGAAGGAAAGGAGGAAGGAAGGAAGGAAGAAGTTCGAGATGAGATCAGTAACCTAGGATGGGCGGAGCAGGAGGAAACTGGCTGGAGGCAGGAGTCTTCCTCCTCATCCCCCGCCTGGGCTTACCTGCACCACCTGCCTCTCCTCTAGGTTCCAGAGGGGTTTAGTCTCCGACAAGCCTCCCTCCGCTTCCCCCCACCCTTCGGTGGAGCTGTGGCAGCAGAGAGCCAGCTAGAAGATCTGATCTCCCAGTGGTGTGTGCGTGCTTGAGTTTGCCCGGCTTCCCTCCACCGGATCCTATTGGGGTGGGGAGGTTAGGTTAGGGGGAGGGCCGGGCAGATCGTAAGGAGGGAGGGGAGGAGGGAGGGGAGGGAGGGAGGGAGGAGAGAGGGGAGGGAGGGAGCTCGGGAAAAGAGGAATGACAACAATAAAGTCTTTATTTAGCAGCCAAAACTCCCAAAGATTTCATCCACACACCATGCCCACTAACAGACCCGTTTTTAATAACATTTCCTTCTGCTGCTGCTTTTGGGAGGGAGGTTGTTTGACCCATGTTTGGAAAACAAGCCAAGTTAACAGAGGAGAAGGAATGAAAAGCAACCTCTGTGCAGCGGAGAGCTGGATGGCTGGGTCCAGCCCCAGGCTGCTTCGGTCCTCCTCCTAATGACTGCCTTGCTTCTGATGCCTCCTGCTCCCCTGGTGTTAAATTCCCCAATGTGAGTCGTTGTGGGAGGTTTTCTCAGAGCAGTGGCAGCCCTTCCCTAAGCCACCTGCCCTAGGAGGTCGCCAGGGGAGCGGAGCCTCTCACACGCGCTGCACGAGGACAGCCTGGCTTGGCTGCAGGAGGGGTGCGCGAGGACCAGCGAGGGTGAAGTCCGGCCTGGGGTCACACCACCGAAGTAAGGCGGACTTCAGATGTGATGTCAGGCCTAAAGTCACTGTCCATGTGCACAGTGTCAGTGTCTTCTTTCAGCTTCTGCATACAGGTCACACTCAGGAGAGATCTGGGGGCTGTAAGGTCATCACACAAAGTGCGTGGGGAAATCCAAATGTCCCCTGTCCGTGTCATCCCTGAAGACCCATTCAAGTAACCGTTACCCCTAACAATCCTCCTCAATTTAAAAACCGCAGCACATTTATAGCTAAATGTTAAGTAGCAGCCCATCAAAACATCCTGCTACCTCGTGGACTGCTTAGAAAACTCAGTGATATTTACTTTTTCTATCATCAGGTCCACGGAGAGCCGCAGAGCCCAGGGACAGGGAGCTCCCTCCACCCCTCCCCAGTCTGGGGTAGAGGAAAGAACATTAAAATTAGGGTCTGCAGCCCTGGGCTCTGCCCCTTACAAGTTATATGATCTTGAGCAAGTCATTTGATCATGCGGAGCCTCAGTTTCCTCATCTGTAAAATGGGGATAATCCCTACCTCACAGTATTGGGAGGTTTAAATGATATAAACGTGACAACACTTTATAAACTAGGAAGACGTCAGGATTTAGGAGAGGGATTATGGTGAGTGGTGTCAGCCTAAGAAATGGGGAAGAAAAAAATCAAACCTGCGCCTTCTTTTCCCATCCGCCTTCCACCCCATACCTTGTGCCTTCCATACCTGCTGACACTGGCTGTCTTGGTCTTGCTGGGAGACAGTGCAGCGGCCCTCCACGTCACCTTAACCCTGTAGGTGCCGGGCTACTCATCATTTTGTTGTTCATCCAAATGATAATGTCCCCTTCTGCAGACTGAGAACATCAGACCCTAGAATTGCCTGTTTCCTCTGGTGTGGTGGGTGGTGAGCGGAGTCTGAGAAAGGTGAGCGAGATACAGTGAGGTGCAGGAAGGAGGGTAGGGGCTAGGGGTGGGTGGGGTTAGATGGGGCACAGGGGGTGTGGTTCACATCCATTTTTATGGGATTTATCTGAATCCCCAGAGTCTCTGCTCTTGGGCATCGATGGTGACCAGCTTTAAGCCCTCACCAAGCCGATACGTCTCCTTTGTCTCTCCCTCCCCTCCCCTGTCCTAGGCTGTGCAGAGAGAATTGAAAGGAGAGTTAGCAGGGAGGGTATAGCTCAAGGGTAGAGCGCATGCTTAGCACACAGGAAGTCCTGGATTCAATCCCCAGTACCTCCATTAAAAAGTAAATAAACCTAATTACCTCCCCTACCAAAGAAACAAACAAGCAAAAATTTTTAAGTAAAAAAAGATTTAAAAAAAGTTTTAAAATTTTTTAAAGAGTAAAAAAAGTTTAAAAAAGTAGAAAATGTGTATGGAAAAAGTTTAAAAAAATTTAAAAAGTAAAAAAAGTTTAAAAAAAAAAAAAGAAAGGAAGGTTGGAGATGGCCAGGTGGGTATTCAGAGATGTTAAGAGCAGACTTTGCTAACTGGGAGCACGTGGCTGTAACAGGGCTTGAGGACACAATATGGTTTTTGATAGCATGATAATAAACTTTTTATTCTGGTAATTTTAAATATACACACATGTATACAGAGGAGTGTTATTAATGCCCTGGACCCGATACCCAGCCCCATCAGTCACTAACTCACGGCCCAGCTCACTCTGTCCGTGCCCACCCCCTGCCCCCACCCCCCGGCACAAACACCACTGGTATATTTCAAAACATTAAAATTTTAAGAAAACTGGATTTGCAGCTTTTCGGGCAGGAGAGCGCTTCCCAGTGAATGCAGTCACGCCCTTCTATGCGCTTTTGTCCTGGGGTTGAGGGCTTAGACTGCATCACTCAGGTACCCACCTGCCAGGCCTCGAAGACAGCCGGGGTCACAACCACTGGTCTAGGGGCAACACTGAGAAATGCATTTGGGACAAATCGGGGAGCTGTAATTAAGAGGGACGGTGTCAGGTTGTCTCAGCCAACCAACCTTTCTCATCCCGGGACAGAGGCCAACGCAGCCTTCACAGCGGGAGGCAGGGGACTGGGGTCTGAGACCTGGCTTTGCCTCTTCCAGCTTGTATGACCTTGGAGATGTCCCTCTCCCTCTCTGGCCTCACTTCATTGTTTGAAAACTCAAGCTTGCACTAAGGGACCTCTGAGTTCTCCTCCAGCAGCAGCGTGAAGAGAGCTTGAGATCTGGGGCCTGGACACGGGGGCTAATATTTTAGGTCTGCTGCTCCCTGCCTATGCGGTGAGCAGGTCTCAAACACGCCCGCGACAAAGGTAATAACCCTGCCCCGTCGCCTGCTCAGGGCACACCCAGGGCAGCACGACGACCATCGGAAGTGTTGGCTGGGAGAGCATTCTGCGACTCGTTGGCTTCAGAAGCCAGATCCTTAGAAAGGCTTGTCCTTGCCGGGGAAAGGGGTGGAAAGTCAAGATACCGGGGTTCTGCGGTTGCCGCCTCCTAGGATGGGGCTTGGGGCAGAATGCGGGGGCAGAAAGTGCAGGAGGACGAGGCAGGGGAGGGAGGGGGCTCCCCAGTGTGGTAGACAAAAGCTACATTTCCAGAAAGTCAGGACCTGCTCACATTTCCCACCCAGGCTGAAATCCCATCTCAGCGGCTCATGGCTTATTTGATCTGCACAGTAACTGCTGCTTGATGACGAGCAGTGAGAGCTTAAAGCAAGAGAAGAAAGGGCACAGTCTTGTCTGATCCTTTCCATGGGCCGCGGCTCCGCCTCCCCACATCCCCGCTGCCCTGTCTGCAGACGCTGCTGCCGGGAAGGAGCAGTGTGGCCCTGGGGGGTTCTGGCTCAGCGTGCTCTGTCCTCATCAGATCCACGGGGACTGGACCTGGGGCAGACCCTCACCCCTCCCCAGTTGAGGCTCACAGCCTGGGGTGGCTGGGGGTCTGGGCATGGGCTCAACAGGGAGGACCTGTGGTGGGAGTCCTGTGGTCACTTGTGCCTCCGCTCAGCCTGGGGGGTCCGGGTTGCCCGGGGTGAGCGGCTCCTGGTGGGCAGAGACAGCACAGGCTCAGCACGGCGTAACCCACAGCACCCACCCGGGGCTTGGCACACCCTGGGTGCTCAGTGAGAGTTTGTTTCATCCCATTTAAGAGAGTTGAACAAGGAGGTTCTCTTTTTTAAAATTGTTATTATTTTAAAAATATGGATAGGCAATGCTTTCTTTTGAGTCAAAAGTATCCAAAGGGTACAAAAAAGCTGCACCAGGGAAAACGTTCCCCTCCTGCCTGTCCCCCCATCATCGTTTCCTCCAGGAGATGATCAGCATAGCGGTTTCCTGTGTCCTGCTGGGCTGCCCTGATGCCCCTTCAAACAACAGGCACAGGTGACCATGGACATCTGCTTTCACTCAGTAGGATATCTTGATAATCACTCCATGTTGGTGCCTAAAGCTCTCTCTCTCTCTCTCTGTGCCCCATATTTGTCTGGCCAGCCTCTGTTTTGGGGGGGTGGGGTAGTTAGGGTGGATCGTTGGTTGGTTTTATTTAAATGGAGGTTCTGGGGATTGAACCCAGGACCCCTGCATGCTAAGCACAGACTCTAACCACTGAGCTATACCCTCCCGCCTCTCAGCAGGCCCTGTTGATGGACATTTGGGCTTGGGGCTCCTCTCCACCCGACCCCATCTTTAAGGTGGGCAGTGCTGGGCTTGGAGTCTCGCAAACTGGGGTCCTGTTCTGGTCCGGCCTCGCTTCCGTCCTAACTGGGTGGCCTCAGCTACTCGTCGGCCCTCTCAGAGCCTCAGTTTTCTCATCTGTGTGTAGCAGACCTCAGTGGCAGTCTGTTGACTCAGTCTATCAGATTATTCTGTAATGTATTTTTAAATTTTATGTTTTTAATACATCTTTTTCATTTTTATTTTTTGCCTTTTTCAGTTTTATTAGGTAGAGATTGTTCTGTAATTTAAACTGTAACTTAATTTCTGAAACTGAACACACGTGCCATTGGGATGGTGGAAAACTCCATCGCAGTCCTGGGTGTCCCTCCCCCAGGGCTGTCCAGGCCCTGAGACAGTTAATGTTTGGCCTCCAGGGCTGCAGGACACGCCCGCCCTGCTGGGAGGCCCCTCTGGTCTAGCAGCCCTCTGACACTTTCTGAGGCTGTGTTCAGAGGACAGGAACCTTCTGCAAAACTCTCATTTCCTTTCTGGAGCCTCGCTGGCTGCCTGGCACTCTGCCAGGGGTGCAGGCCCCACACACCCCACATTCTCCTCCGACCTGCACCATTTCTTCCCCGGAGGAAGCTTCCTTGCCCCCCTTCCTTCTGGCCAAGACACTGTATTTATGCCCAGAAGCCCCCAAGGGCTCTCTGGCTTGTGGAAAATGAAGCCAAAGAACTCCTAGGCTGCTTCCGTTTCCCCCTCCGCTGAGGCGGGGAGCGCGGGACTGACC